CCATGTCTTGTGTCTTGACAATTATCCATTGTCCGGCGCTGTCAATGAGCGTAGGGCTCAGTCCAGGTCTATTATATGAATTTCAAATAACCTTGATGCTGAAGTGCAGATGAAGCCAACCCAAATAACCATTCTTTTATCCAATAGCATATCTACTTTTGCAATAATAATTTAAGCTGTAAAATCTTATTTAATATCATACGTGCTATAATATTAGATTGAAATTTTTGAGGGAATTCGTCGAATGTAAAAATGGCCTCAGCTTTTAGCAGTACGAAATGCAACGAACCCCAATGAGGTTTCAGCAAGGTTCTAGAAAAGCACAGGAAGATAATTAAAAATTGATCGAAGCGATTAAATGAACGAGTCATCTTTCGACTGCTGCTGCTGCTGCTGCTGCTGCTGCTGCTGCTGCTGCCATTGCGAATAGTCGGCCGAGCAGGTAGTAAAACGTTTTAAACTAACTAGCCCATATTGATAGCTATTACGGAACCGCGCAGTCGATTACTCTTTTTCTGTTCTTGCTAGAAATGCCTAGAGAAGCTGTGACTATGATGACTGGTTCTATTTAGCTATTGGCACTTTAGCACTTTGCGATCGATTCGGCCCTGGAATATATTAACGAGAAACATTTCGAACAGTCAATGTAGGCCCGTTTCCGATTTGCACCGATGCATGCAGCGACAAACGTGGCTATTAGTAGTACTCGGAAGTGTTTAGAAATCAAAACGTGGCGTAATGCTAGCAAGCAAGGAAGCGTGTAACTCTAAGAACGGCGCACAGAATGTACGGCGTCTTCTTAGTATAAAAAGTTTCGTCGTACATTGTTTTCGATATGAAGAAACTAAGTGGAGCGACGTACTAAGTTAACTAATAATCATGTCAAATTTCCTGCAACGACTGAAGAACTAAGATCCGGTCGTTGGCTTCGTAGCCGGAAGCCAACGATCGGGTCTCGGTCATATCTTCTCCCTAGCTAAATTATGCTGTCGTTTAAGAAGTAAAAAATAAGCTATCCTATTTACATCTACACAAAAATATGAAAATATAAGATCCTCCTGCGAGACTTGGTTTATAGGCATAAGTAGGATACAAGAGATTAGGTATCCCAATGCCCCTATATCTGACGTTTTTACGGATGCCACACATCGTTTATATTTTTTTTTTCACAAACTAATTTCGAAAATCTTCCACCCATAACATACACCGTACGGTGCATCTTCTTATAAGAGGCTACTATAAACAAGTGAACGAACGCTAACCAAAATCGAAGCACGGCTAATAACGCCGTTAAGCTTGAAGGGAAAAAGTTAGTCAAGAGTTAGCCATCAAAAGGTCTCTCTGGAAATCTGTTATTGGCAAATGGACTGCATTACTGCCACGTACTTATCTGTAATGAGCTAACTGAACGTCTTCCTAATTGCTTGGGTGTTGGATTGTGAGCGATACCTCATTTACTTTCGCTCAAATTGTAGAAGTTTTCAATATACTATAACATCTCTCGCAATAAAACAGAGGAGCATATCTGATATGAACAGCACAGAAACGGCCTAGGCAGAAGACCCCCCTCCCCTCCTTAACCGATCCGTCATCTTACCATTGTAATGAGCTATTGTTCAAAAGAAAACGAAAGTCGTTGTTTCCTCAAGTGATATATTTATTGACAAAATGAATAAATGGTCTGCATGAACAAATAAGTCGGCCATGTTTAACTGCAGCCTCTCTAATTCGGATTCATTCGAACAATATGGTTAGGGGGATTATTTTTTTCAAAACACAAGGAAACAACACAAGAAAATAGAGGAGATTAGTTATCTAGATATTAGGGATTGCTTCAAAATTGGAATCTCCAACACAATCAGGAACGTTGCAGTGTTGTATGTTTCTATTGAGTGACAAATAATCAAGCATACTGGCTACATCATTTCGCAAACCAGTAACCAAAACGCAATATGTACGATCAAGCCTAGAGTTTAAAACACCCATTTAGTTGTTCTTATAGCGTTGGTAAAATTAACGCGCATAGGTGCCCACGAACCGCCCTATTGATACGCGACCAAAAGAACAATAAAACAAGTATGCTTATTAGATTGGTATTGTACTGCTTGTATAAACCTAGATCTGTTCAACATATTGCAATATTCGTCATCTTCCTAAGAGTAGGCCGCGGAAGCCCCAGGGCACGCTCGTCACTTCGATGTACTAGCTAGCACATGCTGTAAGTAGTTCCTGATAAGCAAATACGCAATAACTGTTCATAGCAATGGCTCGCACACGTGGCAGATCGTCTCCTAATATCCTGTTCGAAACAAATATCTACCTATTCGTGTTGCGGGGCAAAGAGAAATCATTGTATCATTTGCCCATTAGCAATATTGTTTTGTTTTATGAAGGAACTCAAGATGTTCAAAGGCACCCTACAATGTGAACGGTTGGTTTGAAAAGAGACTTTATTTTGACAGATCTGGAAAGTATCGGTGGTTGCACTAGTGTCATGCGGGCAGAACATTATTTCTACCCATTTACGCTCGATTTACGTTTCACCGAATTGCCCTCCTGAATTTTGTTTGTGAACACGTCAACATTTCGCTAGAAGACGTTAGAGGGAATGTTGCGACTCAATTTTCACGCTCTGCGTTGCTCCAAGAGATATGGTACTTGGTCATTTTCAGTTTTGCTTGATGTGTTCCTTGGGAAGACGAGTCTTGTTTGTGCCGATAAATATCGCTCAGCTAAATGATGCGGTCACGTATACGGTGGCTGATGGTGCTCTAACGAACTGCAAATACGAAAGTCATAGGAGTGAGCTGGAGAGTTTTCCCCCGTTGCTCAAACTATTGCTGTTAGCAACAATGAAATTCAGTAAAACTCTCGTACAATGTTGATTAGTTGTAGAGCATAAAAGCAACTCTAATTATGAGAAATTTATTAGCTGTTTACTACGGGAAACGTTGTAGCAGCACTATTATTTGTATTAGCATACTAATATTGATATAAATTTTCCTCTTAGCGTATTGTTAACTGTGGGGTCATGGTAAGAGCTGTTCTAATCGAAGCTCTTCAATTCTTCTTGTGAAAATAACGAGAACCGATAACTATGAGGATGGTAGAAAAAAAGAATCTGTCTTAATTCGAATTCATAAATTTATAGTTACATAGGGCACAGTTAACACATAAAATTTGGTTGCTTTAACTATAACACATCGTTATTTGTTTTACGAAGATCTCATCGACTTTGCGTTATGGAGGCGAACGCAGCGTTTCATACTCGCCCGCGTAGATATAGATGAAACGTGGCGTTGGTGTGGTAACGATTCTTGCCTTTGGTAAAATCTTTTTTTATCTAGTAGATTTGTGTCGATAATAGCAACCGACGTAAAAATTAGCATGTAGAGCCTTGAAGAGCCACAAAGCATTCTGAGTTTCTGCGGTAAACATACTATCCACCGTAAGTTTGTGTTGGAAAGTTTTATATGTATATCGGCATGATGAAGTACCTGAATTTAAGTCAGAGAGTGTTGTATATATATATATATATATATATAGATTACGTTATAGTATGTTACTTCCTATGTACGCTAGTGGGTGCACAGACATATACATACATAAATACCGGGTCACCGTCGCACATGATCATTACGTGAATGAACACCGCAGCTAATTTACGTTGATGGCAACGTATGTGTCGTAACAGAACGTGACAGCGTAAGCAAATGATATCTATAATAAATCTCGTACCGATCAGAGGCAGAATCATGGCTCGGCACATTGTCGAAACTTCCTCGTAATTCCTTGGAATTTTATCCAAAAGATCGATCGATAAACTAGTACGCGTGTTTTCTCTACAGTGAACGTCACGTAAGGGGTAACTGCACGGTAACGTAACAGATTTCAAACTTATCCTGGTGATACCGTTAGGTGTCTATTGTGTGCGAGCGATCGGAGGCAATGACGTATGGTTTTTTTTTTAGACGTTCTCAATCTAGACGTGAACATCTACTTAATTCAGCGTGTAGCATATCATTTTAGTCAATACGGATCTATCCAACAACGTCTCAGTTTCAAAGGACACGACAACTGTTATACCGATTATTTAACTGCAAATCCCTTAAATGGAAGAGTACGGAAGAGCATCGTGCAAAAGTTCCGAGCTTTTTTAATTAAATTAAAGTTAATAACAATGATAAATTTTTTTTTTATGAATATATCTGTATGTCAATGAACTTCGTACCGTTTCGATACGCTGTTACATGCGCATCTGAAAGTAGAAACAACCCGCGCACTAATTTAAACGCCTTTTTGTACTAAATGGGCATTTGAATAATAATTTCATCGAATCGTATACATTGAAACGATAGTACTAATCTAATGAATAAGACATGATCAATATTTTGATAATTTACCTATTAAAAAATGCTAATGAATCAGTAATAAATGAAACATTATTCCGATCGCAATCTGCCTCTCATACAATAACCTGTATCTCTCTATTCAAAGCTATTGCCAGTTATTTGACGTTATATACTTACGTTACTTGAGTTATAAGGCAAGATGAAAACGTACGCGTTGCGAAAATTCGTCTGCTATCAGAGCAAAAACAGCGTCTAATCGCTATCCAAATACATAGAGATATTACAAGGCTGCCCCTATACGTAGTAAGAACTAGTTCCTACCTAAGTCGACACTCGTAGGGCTGGCCACTTTTTCTTTGTCCCATATCATTAAACAAATAACTAAAAAATTGACCTTTTTTCGAATTAGACACCTCTCATTCGTCCAGACGTCGTCGCATTTACGATCAAGAATAGTACCACCCTGTGCCGTTATGGTTTCCTTTATTAATTTACGTTCACAGATTTTGTTAATTCGTTGCCGATCACAGAGTTCAAACAAACAAACAAACAAACAAACCAATAATAATCCATGTTACATTGTAATCAGGTAGTGTGATGGGGTAATAATAAAACTTTCTTTTCTATTTTGATCTTGTTCGCTTTCAGCGGAGCTGTTGCCGGCGGATCAACAGAGACTCGCCTCATAATCCCTATGTCTGCCTGCTGATTCACGCAAATCTTACTGTCGTCAAATACGTTTATAATATTCACTTATTCATAGAAGTTCATATGAATTGAGGGATATCGTGCAAATCAAAGCGTGAGGTCAACGGAACTGCGTAGCGAAGTCAACTTTTCATAATGTGGACCAACAGGTCCTAGATTGTGAACTTATGACAATAGGTAGCGTTGCTACTCTCTAAGGAGCGCCCGTAGTCCTAGACAAAACATCTTGAATCGGCTTTGATTTTGCCAAAGGCACGAACGATCTTTTTCGAACTGAGCAACGTAATGGACTAACATTGAGGGTCATAGTGAATCAATTGATGGAGCACAGATTGCCCGTACACGATATCATTGGTCTGCGAATTACTCTAGCGGCAGGTTTTTTTGCCATACAATATTGTATCGGAGATAAGCGCTGTACATTAATATAGGTATAGCTTGTTTTTGGTTTTTCTAATTTTAAGGTTCATTTTGCATTACAATTATTTTTCATCTAAGACAAATGCGTTATACTAATAACCACTTTGTGACTAATCGTTTTACTATTTAAAATATTTTACAGCACACGAAGCACACGAAAAGTGCGTCCGCGATGTGCAGGTCTGTATACTTGCCACGTTGTCTGATTGGAAGTACTAACGATGTCGAGCGGTCAGGAATTATAGAGAAGCGTCGTGCCTTGTTCCTGAAACCTTAATAGATATAGGACACATATCATATCCAAGGGAAAAACATACGTTTACATTCAAGTATACTTAATGCAAATCGGGTATCACATGGCTAACGTTCTAAATGCTATGTTTTCTTAGCATAATCAATAATATTTGATTCTTGGTCCTTTGAAAAATACTACCTTGTTTCTTTCGCGTTCAATTTAGTTATGTGCTCGTTGATGTATACGAACCTTGAGACGGGATTACGATATCGTTTTTCGGCCGGCACCGTAGTACACACCCTTACACCCATTGCCATACCCAAATCCAACTCTGTCGTCCGTCGTCTAATTTTATAGTTACATCAATATATCATTCACAGTAGTATGTTTAAATAAGGTATCTTATATACATTGTCCCTCCTTATATACATTGACGACTTACAGCGCACTGTAACACAGAAAAGGCCGAATGCTCTACGATACTGCGTAAGCTCAACTCCAGCTGAGGTATACAGATAATTATAGGAGGCATGCGTCGTTCAAAACAGACGTGTTTACGAAACGGTGAAGTGTTACGTTCAATTCAGATCGATTCATTCATTCATTCATTCATTGACGCTCATCAGAAACGAGTCCAATATACGAATACGCCAAAGAGAAAGTAGGCTCAGAGCGTTAGCCGGGGGCGACGAGCGACAGTACGAGAAATAAAGTCTGTCCACTCCGTCTATTTCGAAGCGACCGTACGCAATACTAATACTACGTATCCAAGATGATCAATAAAAATCTAATTGTTTACTTATTAGTAGAGTCCAGGAAGCCACAGCTGCCTAACTATGAAAATCTTCACTGTACAAAGCAAATTCGATCGATGAACCGTCTATTATTATGTGGATGACTGGGGCATCTCCTATTGAACCTGTACTACTTCAAATGTAAGCTCTAAATAAATAAAAAAAAAAAAAAAAAAAAAGAGTTAGGCAGCTGCAATGTTTTAATACGCTTGTTGTTATTCCTTCTACAACCGTGCTTAATATAGCATTTCATCAAACAAAAAACCAAAACTATATGTTACTACCTATAAAACATTAAATCTATTAATATTTTTCATTCAGATAAGTTTTACAGTGCTTACGTGTCACATGCAGGACAATCCATGAATAGGATACACTGTCCGTTTTTTAAACCAATAAAAACATAATGTTACACAGATTATACTAGAAAATAAAAACGTATTACGTCGATGACCATTTTCATCTTGTATACAGATCGCTGTCAACCGTTTTCGTTTACCAGATATTTTCCAGCATGCAAAACTCATTCTATCCCCAAGTCAGTGTATTCTCTAAATGGAGATCCGATGTAACTTTTAGCTGAGGCCTATTTTATGCAGCTGCCTATCCGCGTCTCAGCGTTTATATCAACATAAAAACGCAAATCTATATAGAAATTTGTGACTGTAGCTGCGGATCTCTCAGTGTCAAGCACGCTACTCGGGGGCAACGGAAAGCCGTGCTTTTCATTCAGTTAATGGTGTACTCACGCTTCGAACTGTTGACTAAATTCAAGATGTCTAACAGTAATCAAGCGTCCGCTTGGACTATTCATGACCTGTTTGTCGGCCTTCTTCCTTCTGAACCACCTTCAGGTGACCCTTAACGGTCTCACGGGGTCAACCGAGACGAGTTCCATTCTCCAGCTTATCTATTTTTAATGAATCAACTTTGCACGCCTTTCACTTATCACACAATATTTTATAATAATTTTTTACGCGAAACAATACCCTACTCAGTGGTATACACAGGTGGATTAACAGTGAGAAAGTGAGGGAGAACCTTTCACGGGGGCATAGACCTAACATCTAATGTAGACGTTTAATAGCATAAGTTTGCAGGCAAAGATGATGCTGAAACAACGAAACGTATATACGTTTGAGGGTCGTAGATATACAATAGACCGCTAATTAGCGTAAGATGTATTGTCGTCATGGGAGAAAATAACGTTGCATCATCTAATGATCTCTAAGTCTTCGTACGTTATTGTCATGAGAGAAAAAAAAACAGATTTGAAGGCTACAGAATGTTCAGATTCTAATTGGTAAAAGACAAACAAAAAACAAAGAAAAACCTGTCGTACTAACGGGTGAAAATATGTCTCGTTTTAACGATTTGAATCTCGGCGTACACTCATCGTTTTGCTATATTTAAAGGGCTCGGGATTCTTAGCTGCAGTAGCCTTCGGTAGTTATTCCCGTCTGCCGAGGCCTTCGTCGCCTGGTAACAATCAAGCAGAACGAGGCCTGTGCGAAGCAATCCCTTTAGACACTTCCAAATCGTCTGCACTGCCCATCTGGAATATTGTCCCAATTTAACTTTTCCACATTGACAGTCGTCGTGAAAGCTGTTTTATTCGCTCGAGTTTATTCAAGCAACCAAAAAGGGTATCTATGCCAAATTCGTGTAAGATACACCTTCCTATTTTAAGCTAGTACTTGGTGCGTGAAGGTAGCTGAAAATAGGCAATAGTTATCGAGTACTCTTGCAGGAAACCGTTAAGATGATTGACATACAGCAGAGTCTGTAGTTTGTCATAAGTGGTCGCAAGAATCGTGTCCTGTGGCAGAAATCGAAGTCTCTAATTCTATGGCGCTGAAATCAGTATTTGTAAAACATTATTCAGCCGCGTGTTTCTTAGTGGTGAAAAAGTCATTATTAGGTTTGATCTTTTGTCAAGCCGGTAACACCCAGCCGAGTCAAAAGAAGAACGACGCGCCAGATGCAGAACAGTTTAGAGAAAGAGCAGGGAAAATTTCAAATCAAATGAAAAGAAAAAAAAAAAAAAAAAACTCAATTATGCGTGTTTTCTTTCTTAACGTTATTTTTACTATGTGAGCAAACCTTCGAAATCACCTGTCCGAAGAAAATATCGAAGACTTAAGGCCACTAAAAAGTCTAGGATTTCATCAACAGGACCCATGGTACCCATTCGCCATAACAATCATTTGCCAACGCTGAAATTTTAGTCAGCAATGGTTGAATGTTCATGGTTGCCATATCACCGTACTCAGATAGATATGAATTAGTAACCCAGATGATGCCGCGCCCTGAAATTTGCAAAAGACGAGCTTCATAGATTATTGAAACTATTTACTGATTAACCAATCCAATGAATTGGCCGCTTTGAAGTACGATACCTCAAAAACAAATCAAGTTCGAATGATAGAACTTTTATTATATTACTATTGAATAAATGCAACATTAAACGATGTTAAATTACAATTCTATTAAGGAGTAAAGCGGTAACAACGACACAATGGTCTCCGTTTTGCCACCGCTGGCATTTATAACAGCAGACGGTTGATGGCCGGGATCACCGCTCACTTCCACTCCACGTCTGAAAAGGGAATTCATTTTCGACAAAGAAAACTTGTAACCAAAATATGGGCATTAATTTTCATACCGTCAAGTTATTTACCGGCGAAGTTTTTCTATGCTTTAATAAACATTATATTCTGTGTACCAACGAAAGCGTAGAATCTAAGCTTTGTCGAACAGTTAATAATATCGTATTTTCAATCGTTAAAAAATTGACCTTCTAGGTACAAACATACGGAAATTAGTGATTTTAATTAAATACAATAATGCAGAGCAGGCAATCTACCACAGTTCAAAACTTGGCATAACTATGAAAACGTATCTGATGGCAGCTGTACGGCCGCAAAAGCGGACCTATAGTCTCGGAATACATCCTTAGTTCATCTTTTTCCACTCGGCATAGTTCATCTGAATAGCTGCTCTCAAAGCTAATGATTATTAGAAGGCACTGCAATCCAACGTTACTGGAGATATTACCGACTCTGCTGCTAATAGGATCCCTTCAGCTAAACTTCCCGGCATAAAAGTACTTCTAGAAGCTTCGATCCTGGACCAAGAAAAAACCTATTTGAAAATGAAATTTATTCAGGTATTGCACAGGACTGTGTACGAGGTGCAAGGTGTAAGTTTTTTTTTATAAGCGTACTTACTCGCTACACAAGACACTTTGCTTGGGTTCCAGAGAACGTTTTCATGAGCGGTTCATGTTTGTTAGGCAGAGGTTTTTGTTGTTGTTGTTGTTGTTGTTCAAATCAATTACGATGCAGTGCTTAAAATTACATTTATGATGATAAAAAAAAAATAGTGCGTTCACCAAAACCATGCTTGCGTTTTACTGGATCGGGATGAAGCCTATTTCAGCACGTGGATTGACATCTACTTGTGCTTCAGTCGGTGTAGCTCCCGCTGATAACGGCCCAATGAACGTGCCTAGTTTTTAATTACGTGCTTTTTGTAGCATGGCCTGTTCTTCTTCATGTAACCTGCG